CTTAGACACAAAGCACAGATGGAAAAGAAAGCTGTGAACATTTTGGGGTGGTTTTCAAGATCTCCACAATGCCCCATTCACATTGCTTGAACTTGAAATGGTTCTCCACTGTACTAAACAGACCGCACCTGGTCCAGATGAAATTCATTACATTATGCTCCAACATCTTCATCCTTCAACTCTTGAGCTTATCCTATGCCTTTTTAATAAAATCTGGTCTGAAAGCCATTTTCCGTTCGCTTAAAAGGTTGCCTTCGTGGCTCCCTTGCTGAAGCCATGAAAGAATCATTCATGTGCACCTAGCTACAGGCCTATAGCTTTGACAAGTTGCTTATCAACGACTCTTGAAAGAATGATCAGCCCAAGGCTCGTGTTTTTTTTTTTTTTGAAAATAACAACATTCTACACAGATACAAGTGCGGCTTTCGATCTTCCCAATCGATAATAGATCACTTGGTTCGTTTTGAGACAGCCGTGACAGAGGCGTTTGTGAACAAACAGCACTGTCTTTCCGTCATTTTTTGATATGGAGAAGGCGTATGATACTGCCTGGCGATTTGGAATACTGCAAGACCTAATCAACATTGGTATCCGTGGGCACATCCTTGGCGCAGTTAAAAGTTATCTGGAGTTTCGTTCGTTTCGTGTAAAGCTGGGTACCACCTTCTCTCGAGGTTTCTTGCAGGAGAATGGGGTTCCCCAGGGTGGTGTACTTAGCGTCACTCTTTTTATTATAAAAATGAACTCCTTTTCCCGTGTAATACCTCGTTCAGTTCGGTATTCTATCTACGTTGATGACCTCCAGGTTTCAGTATCATCATGCAATATTTCCATCTGTGAGAGGAGGGTTCAAGTGGCAATCAATAATTTAACAAGCTGGGCTAATTAAAATGGTTTTAAGTTTTCTACAAAAAAGACTGTCTGTGTATGCTTTTCTCGTCGTCGAGGATTTTTTCAAGAACCCTCTTTAACCATCTATGGACTTCCTATCATGGTGAAAAGTGAACACAAGTTTCTAGGTCTTCTTTTAGATTCAAATTTAATGTTTGTTCCACACATTAAACAATTAAAGTCAAAATGCATCAAATCACTCAGCATTCTCAAAGTGTTGTCCCATCAATCTTGGGATTCTGATCGACTCTGTATCCTGTGCATTTATCATGCAGTAATTCGCTCCCGACTCGATTATGGCAGTTTTGTATGATTCAGCCAAAGGTTCAGTATTGAAGATGTTGGACCCTATTCATAATCAGGGGCTACGGCTAGCCACCAATGATTTCCTCACTTCTTGGATTGCCAGCCTCTATGCTGAGGCCAATGAATATTCTCTGGAGAAAAGACGTTTCGCTTTGGGGTTTATGTATTCACTCCCGAGCAAGATCAGTCCCTCTCCATCCAGCTCTTGAACCTGGTGAAAAAGTCAATTTTGAGAGGACTTTTCAAAATAAGCCAAGTATCATCCCTCCCTTTGAACTGAGGCATGCTAAGGCAGCGGAGTACTTCGACCTTGACCCAGAGCCCCCTGTGACAAAGTACATAAGCACTGCAGCTCCTTAGGAATATTCGTTCATTCACTGTAACTTCAGTTTGACAAGACACAGAAAGAAAGATACTCCGAATGAAGTGCTGAGGCAAAAAGTTTGTGAAGTACAAAGCCAGTACCAACATCACTTCAGCATTTACACAGATGGCACTAGAACAGATTCTTTTGATGGTTGTGCAATGGTTGGACCATCTATTTGCCATGTAAAGAAACTTAGCCCTTCTGTCACAATTTTAACAGCAGAGTTGCAGGGTTTGTTACTTGCTGTGGAGTATACATTTAAGAAAAGGCTTCGTCGCTCTGTAGTGTACACGGACTCTTTAACTGCATTAAAAGCCCTTGTTTCACTAAATTTAGTCAAAAATTTTTTGGTTGCTTAGCTGCAAGATAAGGTAATACAGCCACCAAAACTGGGTACGACATTATTTTCTGCTGGGTGCCCAATCACGTTAGCATCCCGGGTAACGAGGAGGCAGATCAGGCTGCTCGCTCTGCAGTCACACACTTTGTGGACACAAGAGAAATCCCCCTGAAAGATTACTGTAAGAAGGTCAAACGTTTGATAATGCAGAAATGGCAACATGAATGGGACCGCGAAGTAAACAAGTTACATGCGGTGAAGCACTTACTGAAGGAATGGGAGAGTGCCCGGCACCGTGAACGATTCTACGGGGTGGTACTCCGCCGTCTAAGGATTGGCCATGCACGGCTCACACATGGGCACCTTTTGCGGGGTGAGGATGCCCCACAGTGCGAACATTACCATTGCACTTTGACTATGCTTCATATTCTAGTTGAATGGAATGCGTATAGCCTAGAGCGCCGTGATCACTTTTCACAGCTTTACAAAGAGCACACTCCCCTACATCTGATGATTTTACTTGGCGATTGACCCCTCATACCACACTGGTGTGTTTTTAACTTTCTCAAAGCAGTCGGCCTTCTACACTGACTGTGATTTTGCTGTTTGAACTCACGTCCATACCTTTTAGACTTATACACAGGTCATGTCCATTGTTTTATCCTATCATCTGCTACTAAAGCTCTTTCTTCTCTTTAACCCTCTCCCAGCAATAGTTTATGTACTTGGCGCATTACAGCCTTAGATGCTTTTGCGCCACTAAAGCCCAATCAATCAATTAATAAAACTCTTTTAGCGCATGAATTTGGACGTTTCGGGTGGATGCCCTTCGGGCATAAGCCCGAAACGTCGTGTATACCTCCTTGTCCGCGTATTTTTTTCGAGAAGCACAACCTTATTGCTCGCGATTACGTGTTTTGGCTCATTGTGCTTGGCAGCGACCCCATTCTCTTGGACAGCTATTGCCAACACAGTGGACATTCCGCGGAATAAAAAAATTTCAAAGAAAAAGAAAAATTTTGATCGCGGAGATTTTATTACGGAATTGAGGCGCACAACCCATTTAACGGGCGAACATGCACAGTTCATGTAGTTGACTAAAAAAGAAAAAAAAAGTGAAAGCCGTTTCCAACTCCCAGTATGCCGAACCAGAGCGCAGCTCTTGAGGAGGAGGAGGAGGAAAGGGTACTGAGGGGAGGGGGTCACGTGACCTCCGGGAGGGGGAGTCACGTGACCTCGGGGAATGGGTTACGTGACCTGGGGGTGGGGACACGTGACCCCTCTCCACGAGGTCACCGAAGGTACCCGAGGTCCTCCCGAAGGAACCCAAGGTCCTCCCGAAGGAACTCGAGGCCCTCCCGAGGTTCGCCCGATGTCTTCAGGAGGGAAAAGGGAGGGGGGGGGGGGGGGCGGGCTCGCGGTTACGCCGACGCCACTCAAGCCGAAAACGGGCACCTAAGAGCTGCTCTCTAGAAAAAATAGTCATACACGTTATGGTAAAAGGAAAATAAACCTTTGTGTGTGTATATTTATTAGTAATGGGCCGAATCTTCTCAACTTCAGATCTGGCAAAGTTCGGCACACGGCGAACTTTTGGATGAAGGTTCGGCAGAGATGCGGCGAAAATTCGGCAAACGTGTGCGCTCGCGCGAGGTCGCGACGGCGCCATGGATTGCAAATAGCCGACGTGGGGTCGCGGCGGCCGTTAACATCGTACATTGTAGTGCTACCAGTGGTTACGACGCAGCGCGGGGTAGGCGACATGGTACCTGTGTTAATCAGCCCTTGAGTGGGGTTCTCATCTGTGTTGCGGAGTTGCCACTCTGGAGTTGGAATGATTCCGGAATCATTCCACAGTTTCGGGACCCCGGAATGGAATGGGTATGGAATGGCGGCAATGTTGAGGGGAAAGGAATGGGAATGAAATTAGATGCATTTCGCCCGAAATGGAATGGGCGCGGTTCCTTTAGGGGCGAAGCTCCTTGGGGTCTAGCCTTGTCCGTCCGGCGTCCCTGCTGACATCGATCTTGCGGGTGCTCTTGCTCGTGATCGTGCTCGTGAGCTCACGTGCTCTTGTAAGGCAAAAAAAAAAAAAAAAACCTGTGCGGGGAGACCCCAATGGATTTCTTGTCCATCGCCTTAACCATTCGGCCACGACTGCGGGACGAGCGGGGGCTCTGCGATGTGGTAGTAACTCAAGAGCTGGAGATGTCATGGATGAAACGATGAAACGTCTTACAGAAGAGGGCGCTGCGGTCAAATGCGTACATAATCGCGTTAAACGTTGCATGCATTAGCTCAACGTTAATAGACGCAAAGGCGCTGCGGTCAAATGCTCAAATTCGTATATAACCACGTTCCATCCACACATTCTCTTTTTCACATGGATGAAAATGAACGAAAGGCTCGGCATGCTGCGGCTCAGTGTCTACGCAGAAAAGCACCACTAGAGCTTTGCCCAATCAACATCATTCTCCACGTGGAGATGCGGTAATTTTTTTAGAGCGCAGCTCCTAGGCCACCATTTCCGGTTTGAGCGGCGTCGGCGTCGGCGTAACCGCGCGGTGCATTATGGGTGAATTTTCCCGCTGAATTTAGCGAAAAATATTTTCCCGCTAAATTTAGTAGAACAAATCCCCCGCTAAATTTATAGGAAAAATTTCTCCGCTAAATGTAGCGGAATTTTTTTTTGGTAAATCCAGCGGGGGAAATATTTCGCTAAATTTAGCGGGGAGAATTTTCCGCTAAATAAAGCGGGACATTTTTTTTCCGCTAAGGTGAGCGGGGAAAAATTTAGCGGAAAAAATTTTGCGCTAAATTAGGCGGGGAAACTTTCCGCTGAATTTGGAGGGGAAATTTCCCGCTAAATTTACCAGAAAAATATCCCCACTGTATTTAGCGGGAAATCTTCCCCGCTAAATTTAGCAGAAAATTCTCCCGCTAAATTTAGCGGGCAAGATTATCCGCAAGATCTAGCGGAAATTTTCCACTAAATTCAGCGGGGAAATCTTTCCGCTAGATTTAGCGGGGAAATGTTTCTGCTAAATATAGCGGGAAACCTTTTCCGCTGAATTTAGTGAGAAAATTGTAGCAGGGCACAAGCTGTGTCATGCTAGTGAAAGAGCTCACCCAATCATGTACCGTAGAACGTCCTACGTCACACCGTTCCTCGCCTTGATAAAGGCGCACTTCGTAACAATAAACATTATTCATCACCCGACTGGCGGCCCGCTTACATGGTGGCAGCGGTGCCCAGTCGAGATGTCGAAACCGTCAACGCCGCCGATGCCCCCATTGCCGTCAACGCTGCTGCCGCCACCGAAGCCCCTGGACACCTCAGGCGACGCATGGCTCGGATGGAAAAATTGGAAACATGAGTTCGCCTTGTTTTCCACCGCTATGCAATTGAGCAATCAGCCAGAGGAAGTGCAGGCAGCAACCTTACTAATAACAATCGGAGAAGAAGCGAGAAAGGCGTACGAGGCCTTTAAGTTCACTACAGATGAAGAAAGAAACAGTGTAGAAGTACTGATTCAAAAGTTCGAAGAATACTACAAGCCCGCTACAAACCTGACTTTCCAGGAATTCAGATTTGGGTCAAGAGACCAAAAAGAAGGTGAACCTTTCAACGAATGGTTAACAGAGCTAAGGATTCTAGCTAAGAATTGCGAATTTGGAGAGCTAGAAGATCGGATGCTACGCAGCCGTATCATCCTAGGAGTTCGAGAGAAGAGCCTGCAGCGGAAATTACTTGTTGAAAACCCAACCTACGAAAAGACCGTTGAGCTGTGTCGCCTTCAAGAACAAGGGCAGGAAAAGTTCCGAGAGATTACTGGAACAGCGCAAGGCGCATCTGAGACAACTATTAATGCTGTTGCTGCGAAAAAGAGTCCCTGCTCTAGGTGCGGCTATTTTACTCACCGCGGCGAAACCTGCCCAGCAAAAGGAAAAAGGTGCAAGAAATGTGGAGGGCTTAATCACTTTGCTCAAGTGTGCAAGACGCCGGTACTTCAACAAAGCGCGAATAAACCGAAGAAAGAACTACGCGCTCTGCACACCGAAAGTGACGAGGAATTCTTTCTCGAAGCATTAACGGTAAACTGGGTCGAGACCGACAAATGGAGCGCGTCAGTTCACATTGAGGGCAAACCAATGGCGTGCAAGCTAGATACGGGCGCTAACTGCTGCGTCATATCAATGCAAGACGCCGTAAAGCTTTCAGATAAGCCTCGGCAAGAGTGTCAAGTGACGCTAACTGCGTTTTTCGGAAACAAGACGACTGCTCACGAGAAAGTAAAATTGCTTCTTTCCGCAAACGGCAGAGAGCACGAAGAACTCTTCTTTGTCGTAAAACAACATGTGCCAATCACCTTGAGCGGATCCGTTGCCGAGCGCCTGGGACTTCTGTACCGGGTGCAGAATGTTCATCTAGACAACTTGTACCAAGCCGCACAACCTTTTGCAAAAGTTTTCAAAGGCCTTGGGCAATTGAAAGATGTCGAGTATGAAATGAAGCTGAAACCTGGAACTGTTGGAGTCGTCGTGCCGGCCAGGAGAGTTTCAGTTGCTCTTCAAGACAAGGTGAAGGCGGAACTTCAGCACATGGAAGAGCAAGGCGTCATAACCAAGGTAACAGAGCCTACTGCATGGTCTAGCCACATGGTCACCGTCATTAAAAATGACAAAGTGCGTATTTGTTTGGACCCTACGGCACTCAACAAAGCACTTTTGCGTGAAAACTACCGAATGCCAACCCTAGAGGACGTCGCGCCGCTACTGTCTGGAGCAAAATTCTTTTCGACCCTAGATGCGGCGTCAGGATTTTGGCAAATCAAACTTACAGAGTCGAGTTCCAAAATATGCACGATGAGCACACCGTACGGCCGATATCGCTTCCTCCGGATGCCCTTTGGAATCGCATCCGCGCCAGAAATTTTTCAAGCAGCAATGCACCGCCTACTAGAAGGGCTACCTTGTGTCGCCGTAGTGATGGGCGATATTCTACTCTGGGGCAGAACAAAAGAAGAGCACGACCATCACTTGACACTAGTGCTGTCGCGCTGCCGAGATCACAATCTGCGACTGAATCTAAAGAAATGTACCTTTTTGCAGACAGAAGTCCGCTACCTAGGTCACATCCTGACCACGAAAGGCCTGCGCCTGGACCCGGACCGCGTAAAGGACATCCTGGTGATGCCGCCACCCTCAAACGGTAAGGAGTTGCAAGTTTTTCTTGGCACAATGAACTTTGTACAGCGTTTTGTACCTCGCATGTCCGACGTGACTGCGCCGCTGAGAGCTCTACTGCGCAAGGATGTTGCCTGGGTGTGGACCGAACAGCAGCAAGACAGTTTTGACGCCCTAAGACGAGCATTGATCGAAGCACCGGTTCTGTCGTACTTTGATCCAAAAAGATCAGTCACTCTTTTTGATGATGCCAGTCAATACGGAGTGGGGGCCGTCATTACTCAGGAAGGCCATCCTATCGCTTTTTTATCAAGATCCCTTACGGAAACGCAACAGCGATACGCACAAATCGAAAAAGAAACACTGGCAATTGTGCACGGCTGTACCAAATTTCATGATTACATTTTCGGCCAGGCGGAAGTAATTGTCGAGACAGATCACCGTCCCTTGGTGCCGATTTTTCAAAAACCACTGCACCAAGTTCCACTTCGTTTGCAGCGTATGCGATTGACTCTGCAACGTTACCCCATCCGACTTCTATACAAGCCGGGCAAAGAACTCTTTCTTGCCGATGCTTTGTCACGCTTCCCCAGTAAAGTCAGCATGCAAGAAGAAACCACCCAGTTTCATGTGAACGTACTTGCTTACGTTTCAGCATCAGAAACTCGCCTTAAGGACCTTCTTGGAGCAACCAATGAGGACCCCGAACTCTCAAACCTGCGTGACTACGCGGAATCAAGCTGGCCTGATAACAAGCAAGACGTCCCAGAAATCGTCCGTCCCTACTGGGCGTACCGCGAGGAGATACACACTCAAGACGGCCTTCTGTTTCGCAGCAATAAGGTAATGATACCAAAAGCAAAAAGAGTAGAAATGATGTACCTCCTGCACATGGCACACGCGGGGGCGGAGAAGATAAAAGCGCGAGCAAGAAGTGTGTTGTTTTGGCCAAACATGTCCAATGATATAGAGCAGTTTTGTAAAGCCTGCAAGGTGTGCCAGATGCATCAGCCACGAAACGTAAAGATGCCTCTTCTGAGCCACGACGTCCCGACATTGCCTTGGGAGATCGTGGGAATGGACTTGTTCTCATACGGCGGACGCGAGTTTGCAATAATTGTAGACTTCTATTCGTTTTTTTTTTGAGGTTCGGGAGCTCCGCCACACAACCGCAAACATGGTTAAATCGTGGTGTGCTGAAGTTTTTTCAGTTCATGGGCTACCGCTGAAGCTGTGTAGTGACAACGGCCCACCATTTAACAGCAAAGAGTTCAAAAACTTTCTAGCCCATCTAGGCGTAATGCACACTACCTCTAGTCCCTACCACCCACGCTCTAATGGTATGAGTGAAAGAGCAGTTCAAGAGGCCAAGAAACTTTTAAAAAAGTGCTCGTTCAGAATGCCAGACTTCCAAATGGCTTTACTTGAGTGGCGAAATACTCCCAGAGATGCTGTCCTCAAGTCTCCTGTGCAGAGGCTGATGGGACGACAGACGCGGACGCTGCTACCAGTACCAACAAGCCACCTAGAGCCGGAGACTGTGCCAAGCAAAGCTGTCCACAACCGCCTCAAGGAGATCCGGCAGCGGCAGATGACCTTCTACAACCGCAACTCCCGAAACCTGCCGCCATTGTCACCGGGGCAACAGGTCACGACGTACGACACACGCCAGCGAACCTGGTCGCCAGCCGTCATCCTGAGACCAGCGGGCACCCCGCGTTCAGCGATTCTTCAGACTGAAGACGGCCGCGAGATTCGACGCACAAGAGAGCACCTAAGGGAGGCAGCATCCCAGCCGGACTCAAGTCGACCTTCCATCGAAGACCGACCGGCAGACCAGGACATCAACGAGCCCAGTCAAGAGCTACGCAGAAGTACCCGAGAACGCCGGGAACCCTGCCGGTACCCACTGCCCGAAAGACTGTAACAAAGCCCCTTCCCCTTTCCCATTCTCCTTTAAAGAGGGGAGATGTAGCAGGGCACAAGCTGTGTCATGCTAGTGAAAGAGCTCACCCAATCATGTACCGTAGAACGTCCTACGTCACACCGTTCCTCGCCTTGATAAAGGCGCACTTCGTAACAATAAACATTATTCATCACCCGACTGGCGGCCCGCTTACAAAAATATTCCGCTAAACTTAGCGGGGAAGATTCCTCGCTAGATCTAGCAGAAAAATTCCCCGCTAAATTTTGCGGGGAAATTCGTCCGCTAGATCGTCTATATTTTCTATATCAAATATTTATGTACAAGTTAAAAAGAGGGAGTGCAAGGATCCTTCCCTGTGGTGCCATTGGCGTAAGCGCCTTAGGCTAAACGCTTTCTCGTTATTACGACACATTGATAACGATGTTTGAGAAATCTCTCGATCAGCATTGAGGCGACACGTCGCACGCCGTGTGCAAATAATTTAAGAAGAAAAGTCTTATGGCCCGAAGTGCTCCGTTGCAATGGCGAGTAGCACTATTATTCTGGCCTTTAGCTTTCAAAACGGTTCGTTTTTTTTTTCTTTTTTGAGAGAGGTAAATTTCTGCAAAGAAATGTTGGTTTGCTTTCGATGTCTCTGGGCTAGAAGAGATATAATCCAGGAAAAAAAAATTTGTCGACGGCCAAGCGCGTCTCGCAGGTGGAAGACTGCGTCGAGTGCATTGTTGGCATTGTTAACAATGCAATGTGCTACTTGAATACTTAGTCATCAAGCTTTGCGACATTTGCCTCAAGTTAAAAACAACTATTTATTGTTTCGGCAGCTCTTGGAAGACAGAATTATTTCAAGAACGATGAGAATTCTATATTGTTTAAATTGTCTTTTCGTGTAATGTCCCGCAGTCGCACACACTTCCCTATTGAAAAATCCACCAGACCGGTTTGGTGTGTCCTAGTGTTTTCTGACGTAAACATCAGACCGGCCTGGTGTGTTCTGGTGCGCACATCAGACCAGCCTAACGTGTTCTGTTGTCCCCACCAAAACACGTAAGGCTGGTTTGGTGTGCCCATCACATCATCCTAATGTGGTCTGTTGTGCAGATCAAAACACACCAGGCTGGTCTGATGTGCACAACGCAGCACACCAGAATGGCTTGATGTGCACACTATGCCACACCAGACTGGTCTAATGACCTCACCAAGGCACACTAAACTGGCCTGACATGCACACCAGGGTGCCTCTGGTGAGCACACATTACGCATATATGTATGGTGTTGAATGAAAACATGTTTTCTTGTAAAATTAAATAAGATGTACAGCGCTCAAACACCACATTTGATTTTATAAGGTGCTTAATTGAAGGGGCGATGCAACGATTCACTTCAAATAATATGTACTTTGCGTAAGCATGTTGGCACAGTGTAACAAACGTTTACCTATATGCAATAGCCTGATGGAAAGAATACAGGTTTGTCTCGTCAACAATCGTCAGTAGCTTGTCATCAATGAAAACTTGAAAATATTTCAGTCGGCATTTGACATCATCAGAGGCCGTAAACATGGGTTGCGCAGGCTCCACAAAACACCGGTCCTCTTTTCCCCAGTCAAAAACCTGCGGCGGTGACTTTTGCTTCTTTCTTGACGTTGACAGAAGTGGACAGGCGGGCGTTCTGCCTTCAGTTTCGTTATCACTTGGAAGTTCTGTTGTTAGGCCCTTCGTTGGCAAGTTCTCCTCGTCACTGTCACTCACTTCACTGTCACTAGGTCCCGCATCAGGCACTGTTCCGCTTTCCGGAATCAAAACCACATAGGGACGATCGCGACACCGTGTCTGGTAGAAAGATCCCGATGGAATTTCCTTCGGGCAGCAGTAGAACACGAAGCCTAAAAGAAAAGAGCAACACGTCAAATTCTACCAGAAAACAGGGATGTACTAGACCACGCCAAACAGGAAGCTTTCTCCCGACAATTACAGCCGATTCCTCGTGCACAGGTATGTCAAATTCAGAGCGAACGCCCGCCCCTAAAGTAAACTACTGAAACACTGCCAAATCTAAGCAGGGTCATTCCATGTGAAACGTCCCAGACTTTGCGCTCGACCACCTCCGATTTCTAAAACAAAAATTCATGGGCTTCGGCCACAATGTTCGTAGCCATACCCTAAAATAGTTTTGACGAAAAAAAAATTGTGATGACGTGAGCGCGATTTTAATTTTTGAAAACAGCGCGAAACTAGGCATCACTCAATAATTTACGAAAAATCAACTTTTTTTTGAAATACCCAACAATATTTTTTTCTTAAATTTGCACGGTTATCAGCTTACAATGTGGTTGAGTTTGTGCAGTTTTTTTTTAATTTAAATATTTAAAAAAATACATAATTTTATTCAAAAATAAACATTTTTGTTATTTTATTAAAAAATATATAATTGCTCTTGGGACCTAATATAACTGTTTACTGGTTGCCCTCTAGGTATATAACCTATAAAAATATTTTAAACCGCTGAATTAAACACCTTGCAGTAAAACAAAAATCCTGAAGTTGCCAAAAAGTGTGTTTTGACGCATAAACAGCCGTTTATTCCACCCTGAGGTGATCCAAGTCAAAATACAAAATATGGTGGGTTTGGAAGAACGATTGATCGTCTTTTGATTCTGAAAGTTTAATCAGAGTACTTTTTGTTTAAAGCGAGAAAACAATTTTTGAAGTTGAACTCTCGCACCACTACCCGGCGTCGCTTTTTAACGCCTCTTCGCCGCACAGCACGCCACCTGCGACGATAGCCGAAGCGATTAGGTCCAAAGATACAACGGAGTTTGCTGCCCGCTTCCCCTCGTCCCTCTTTTCTGGCTGTAAGGGAAGAAACGGCGGGTATCGTGTGCTAATCGGAGGTGCCACCAGTGCGTCGCCATAACAGGCACGTTGTGCCCTTTGTACCTGAGGGCGGCTCCTCACACTCCGAAACGCGATGCCTAATCGACGGGCCGCATCAGCTGACTTGGACTTCTTCATGCCATGCCAAAGGTCCCACGGCGACCTCCGATTCCTAAAATAAAATTAATGGTTCTTCACCATAATGTTTGTGGTGCTTCTCTAAAATATTTTTGACGAGAAACAAATTAAAAAAGGAGTGAAACTAGGAGTCATTTATTAATTGATGAAATTTAAGATACTTTTATAGAAGAGTGGACTATTTTTATTCCTAAAAACCACATGGTATTTTCATTGTTGTGTAATAAGGATCATGGATATTCGCTTGAAGGAATTTTTTTTTTTTTAAGTTAATATATGAGAATTTTAGCCTTTTTGAGTTTGGTTACAAACTATCTCGTTGCTGCAGATGATTAAACAACATATTGGCAACCCTATGAATATTATGCACAAAAAACGTTTCGGGCCGTACAACTAAATATCTTGCAGAAAAAACAACTTATTTGTGCAAAATGTCGTTCTGCCGTTTAAAGAGCCGTCCATTCTGCCTTGAGGTGGCCGAAAACAAAAAGTGAGACATGATGACTTTTACAGAAGAGTTTATTGCCTTTTGTCCTTGAATGTTTAATTAAACTAATTTTGTTCGAAATACGAAAGAAAGAAACATTTTGAAGTTGAGCTCTTACGTCGCAACCTGGTGTCGTTTCTTGTACGTGCCTCTTCTCTGCACAGCACGGACACGTGCCTTTGTTTATTCATTATTTCCAATGGGTCATGTAAAGATTCCCGCACTGACAATATGGACCGAAATAAATGCCAGAAGCGCAATCTTGGCTTGTGACCATGCTTCAAGCGTCCGAGTTAACATACTGAATCAGCGCGTTTCAGAGCTTTGATCACTCGCCTGTCGCCTTCATTTCGCTCCAACTAAGCGCGAACCGGATCATAGATCCGCTTTTCACAGCAGCATGCGTGGCGGCTAGATTTCGCGGCAATATTATAGTGTTTCAGACGTCCACGTCAGCTGATGCCGCCCGTCGATTAGGCATCGCGTTTTGGAGTGTGAGGAGCCGCCCTCAGGTACAAAGGGCACAACGTGCCTGCTATGGCGACGCACTGGTGGCACCTCCGATTAGTACACGATACCCGCCGTTTCTTCCCTTACAGCGAGAAAAGAGGGACGAGGGGAAGCGGGCAGCAAACTCCGTTGTTTCTTTGGACCTAATCGCTTCGGCTATCGTCGCAGGTGGCGTGCTGTGCGGCAAAGAGGCGTTAAGAAGAGACGCCGGGTAGTGGTGCGAGAGTTCAACTTCAAAAATTGTTTCTCGCTTTAAACAAAAATTACTCTGATTAAACTTTCAGAATCAAAAGACGATCAATCGTTCTTCCAAACCCACCATATTTTGTATTTTTACTTGGATCACCTCAGGGTAGAATAAACGGCTGTTTATGCGTCAAAACACACTTTTTGGCAACTTCAGGATTTTTGTTTTACTGCAAGGTGTTTAATTCAGCGGTTTAAAATATTTTTATAGGTTATATACCTAGAGAGCAACCAGTAAACAGTTATATTAGGTCCCGGGAGCAATTATATATTTTTAATAAAACAACAAAAATGTTTATTTTTTAATAAAATTATGCATTTTCTTAAAATATTTAAATTAAACAAAACTGCACAATCTCAACCACATTGTAAGCCGACAACCGTGCAAATTTAAAAAAAAAAATATTGTTGGGTATTTTATAAAAAAGTTGATTTTTCGTAAATTATTGAGTGATGCCTAGTTTCACGCTGTTTTCAAAAATTAAAATCGCGCTCACGTCATCACAAATTTTTTTTCGTCAAAACTATTTTAGGATATGGCTACGGACGTTGTGGCCGAAGCCCATGAATTTTTTTTTTTAGAAATCGGAGGTGGTCGAGCGCAACGTCTGGGACGTTTCACATGGAATGACCCAGCACGGAACGGAACACCACAGAAATCACAGAGCTACTATGCGACTCCTCTCTTAAGACAGTTTCACATGCAGCAACTGTGCGAAAAAAAAAAAAAAATCGGTGCGATAGCCGACGCAGC